TGAGATGCACGGCAGGCCAACCTTTATCATCACTATCAGACGTTTTATCTGTCCCACATATATGTACACTGCTACAGCTGGTTGAAGTATCTACATTGTGATGACATTTTAACCTAGAAATAGGCATTCATCTACATGTAATATGCAATCTGTAATGGAAATTATATAACGCAGAAGCTGATACTATACAAGCAGCTACTGGAACCAGAAATTGAGAACAAAAAAAGTTGAGGGTTGTGGTGGTATATGTATGTCTAGTACCATTCCTTCCAAGTTTTAATGTTGTGCGATTTTTTTAAACTCGTTATAGGCATGTTCAGTATGATCATGAATGTTCTTTTTGATGTATTGAATACATCTTCTGATGATCAACCTGAGCTTAACAACACAAAAATATCAAGTCTCTTGTTTGCAGATGATATCATAATTACATGTACATCGAAATAAGCTCTTCAATCATCACTCAATGCATTGCATGTATACACTATAAAATGGGGTCATGACGTGAACACAATTAAATCAAAAATCTGAATTTTTATCAAAAATGAACATAAATCAGAAAAATCATCATTCACATATGGAAATATGATTTTAAACAAAACAAATGAGAACAAATATTTGAGTGTAACATTCAATACCAATGAATTCCTACAAAAAAACATGGGGAGACTTTGTAGATAAAGCAAGAAAATCAGAAAGCACAATTGCAAATGGGTATAATGGTATCAACAATAACATTAAAATTAAATCCAAGCTGTTTGTTACTATTCATTCACAGATCCTACTTTATGCATCCGAGATATGGGGAGTCACTATACCAATCTAGCAGTCGAACAAAACTGAAAAGTTCATTTTTAAGTTATACAGACATATTTCTAAAACAATTGAATGCCGCCTTGAAACTGGGAGACTCCCATTGATCACAAATTCTGGCAATTAATTATTACCAAAATATTTACAACAATGGTCCTATAACTTTAAGTACCATGCAATCAAAGAACATGAACAACGTTGGTTGGCTCATGGTTAGAAGGGCTTCACAAATTAAGGTAAAAATACAGAATTGATGTCATGGCAACATTGAGACAATTTCAAAATATTACAAATGAACACTACAAAAACGTTTTGATAGCTGATAATTAAAAAAGAGAACTTGAAATTAAAAACAGTCTTTTAAAAAATTACACTAACATTTCATTCTACTTTAATGTATTGAACAACAGGAATGATTTCACAACTCGGGTTGAGCAGCCCAAACCTACAAATTGAATTGTACAAATTTGGCTGTCACCAAAGGCCAGAAACACAAATTCAAGACAGACTTTGTAAACATTGTAACAAACTAGTAACAAACTGCACATGATTTATAACAGTGAAAGAGGTATTTTATATGCAGAATTCATGGGACATTATTATAATTATTGTAGAAAAGAAAAAAATAATGTTATCATGTAGTATAATCTTTTGAAACTTTATACTGTTATTTGTGCTTCATTGACCCAACTCATTTGATTGCCTGCATTGAATAGTTTTGAAAAGACTGACAGTTCTAACATTATGTCTTGATTGTCTACAAATATCACAGGTGTCTCTCCTCAGCCTTATATGTGTATACATAATATGACATGCTCTTTTTGAAAACAGCTCAACTGTATACACACTATACATTCTTTTATTTCTAAAACGTGCGGCCAACAGGTTACAGGTGCATTAGTGTAATATATAGCAGTATAGAGTAGAATACATAGTAGGTAGGATATTTTATTGTACCTAATGAATTCTAAAGTAATTGTACTTAAAATGCTGCAATAAAGACATTATTATTATGCAGAATTTCCAGACTATGATGTTAAGTCCAAAAAAGTGATCAAAATTTGAAAATTCTCACTGGCTAGTAATTAGTTCAAACTGCAATGTTTGCAAAGCTAGAATATAAATGCGGTCACTGGTAGCCTAATGGTTGTCACATCAGACTCATGGACGGTAGACCCAAGATTCATTCACTAACGAATGCGACTTTGGGGGAACCTTGGTTAAGGTCCGCAGGTACTTGACCGAGCCTGGTTGACGCCAGGATAGCGCATTAATATTGCCATTTGATAGAGACATGGTCACACAGCCCTTCATGTAGTCCTGAACATGAATATGACTTCTGTGACAAAAATGTGTCAGTACTAGCACTTTCAATTTACACATACAAAAAAGTCAGGGAAGACAACAGGTACATTCAATGTCCGGAACTGTCGTCTGGCACAAAAAACAAATTAGAAAAAAAAAAAGGTGAATGCTAGCTAAAATACCAATCCATTGTTGTCAGAGAATTTTTCCATTTTGTATTTGTCGATTCAGGTAGTTCGTTTGTTGACAAACACTATAACACTATTTGCTGATACTTGTCGTCAGTCAAATTTGAAATATCACTGGAAATAGATTTCTACTGTTTAATAAATTTAAATTAATAAATAGCTGGTATTCCCCAAAACAATATCTATGCTGAGAGAATATCTGAATGCTTGTTAATGTGTGAGACTCTCAAATGTTGATGGTTTTAGGTAGCAAAATCAGACAAAGCTTTTCTGGGATACAAGTCTGACCTGAGATAAAGTGTTGAGGCCGCAGGTACACAGACTATCCTGTGTATGAGGTGATTTATCCTATACAAATTGCTTGACAATTACTTTTATATAATCGTTACCCTCTCCCCTCACAGCATGTATACTATTTCTTCATCACCTCAGGCCTATAATACCTTGTGATCCATTACCCAAAAACCTACGTTTTCTGCATTACAATCACTAAACAAATTGCCAACACATTGTTAGTGTGAAACCCTTACTTTAATATAAATGATTGCAGTACTGTGAGCCATTTTTAGCTCCTGTGTGTGCAAAACATAAACAGAAGGTAATGTCATACAGATGACTGCTGTCTGTCCGTATGTGTGTTCGAATGTGTGTCTATGTAAACTCCTTCTCCACTAATATCTCAAGACCGCTGACTGGATTAAAATGAAACTTGGCACACAGCTACGTATCATAAACAACAGACCTGATTAGATTTGTGTACAAATCCGTGCTAACTACTGTAAAATACTTTATTTTAAGATAAAACATAATATGAGGTTATTACGAGAATACCTCAAAGTATGTGCAGCGGAGGTCGATGCACTGCGTACTGTCTGAGTACATACTTTGAGGTACATGTATCCTTGTAATAACCGTTATTATTACCGTATACATCTTTTCCTTCCAAGGATGCATTATGGGAATGCCAAAATTCAAAAAGTTTAGAACATGTTCCTCATAGATTTACAGCTGTAGTCTTTAGTACTTGAATGAATTTGTAGTATTTATAGACAGACGATGTTGTATTAAAGTTTTGCCAAAAGTAAGAATAAGCTAAGAATAGTGACTCATTTACCTATAAATTCTGTATCCTATTGACAACACTACTATTTAAAACTGTTTAAATATCCTAATAAAACCATATAAATTTGGGGTACTTTATAAAATCTGTGGAAGACAAAATATGAAGTGTTATATGGATACTGAATGGTATGTTATTGTGTACAATACAAATAATTTTGAAATTCCTAAAGTAAGATAATTCATTGGTTAGTTGATTCCAACTTTAAACATTTGTTTGGGTTCATATCCTGAGCTGCATACCATAGCTGCATTATACTTGTATCCAGGGTGCAGGTAATTCAACATATGTCATAGCATTTTTGGTGTTCATGACATTCTGAAATAAATTACACAAACTGGAAACCCTGAACAATTTTTTTAATTTGTCAGTATTAAACATTTAATTGTTTTTTTTCAGTTTTTTGTCATCCAAGAAAACTGATCAACAATCACATTTTTTGCCAATTGTTACATTGTAACTGATATTCTGGAACTCAGGTTCTTAGACTCATTCAAGATTTGTACATGTAATTCTAAACACTTACAGGTGATCTATAAAATTAATTCAATCTCCACTTTTGATGTGTTATGGTGGGTTTATGCAGGTATAATTCCTGTAATATGCCATATGAACTTTTCAAAAACATATTCCATTTCATTATTGTCCCAAAACAATTAACGATAAGGCCCTGTTTGACATCATTTGCACAAACACATTTCTTTTATCTAGTTAAAACACTGTATTCTGAACTGGTTCAAATCAATTGCAGAAAATGTTGTTGCACAGGAGTTGAAATCAGGAGCAAATTTGATTTCATCTTGACAGCAGTCAGGAAGCTCGCCTGTATTAAACATTGATTACATTTTCTACAAATACATAGTTGTCAGATATAGAAAGATTTACACATTCTGGTCAGATTTCTGATTCAAAAGAGTTGTTACAGTTATTACTGAAAATTGTACCGGGTATATACAAATGTCTTATTGATGTTGTGTTGCCAAGTACAAACATTATACCGGTAAATCCACTCTGTGAATATTGTCAGTAATAAATGCAGAATAAGAACCATAATTCAAAATAAATGAAAAAACAGTATCTCAAAATAATGTCATTTATTCTTAATGGAACCAATAAGGTTTATGATAAATTTGTACAGCCTGGATACAGCTTTTGTGGCGAGCCTTCTGACGTATGACCTCAGGCCGCCAAAACCTTATCCAATCCATAAAGATTATTACACATTAACCATACCTATTGATTATTATATAATGCATTGTGACATCATTTATAATTATAAAATAGGGTGACAGGATTATATCTTAATTAATTCTGTGTCATACAATTTTAGCATACAAATGATCTTTGATGTTGTTTGACATACTGAAGTCGAAATGTATTGTATCGAACATGGCTTTTCAATTGATACTTCTCAATATCCCTGGAGACCATGCCTTTGTCTCTTAGTGATCCTGGAATTCAAGAATTCATCAGTGCAGAAGTCAATGGTAACATACTCTTGTTTGAATAGCAGATCGGGTTGATACATGAGCATACAGTAACAGCATGATTTATCGTGTGTTTTTTTTTCATGCAGACAGCCAACTATATTGAAATTCAAGTGACGTTGTCCTGTATGTTACAGAGAACAGGAGTCTGAGTACTGTGTAGACAGTGAAGCAAGTGTCTGTGACTGTATACAGCAGTGTCGCTATGTCATTCGAAGTACGAGAAGCGAAATCCAGCGACTGTGAAGTCATTCTCAGTCTCATCAAAGAACTGGCAATTTATGAAAAGTATGCCGATAAAGTGAATATAACAGAAGAAGGTAAAATATTGTGTATTTGCCAACAATTGTAATGTGATGAGTTTAAAAGTGTGCTTCAACAAAATGAATTACTGTAAAGGGGGTAATTATTCACTGGGTTTTAATTTAGCTTATTTCGCTGACTGGAAAAATGCGCTAAATTAAAACACAGTGAATATGTAAAATTTAGCATAGAACACATTATCTAAATGAGGAAACCGTGAATTTAAAACCCACTGAATATGCCTGAAATGGTAAGTCAGTGAAATTTAAACCCAGTGAAAATTAGTCATTTTACAGTATGAAGTGTGGATAAATAATGCAGCAGCAAGGACTTTAATAATTATATAATTTTGCAGAAATTCATAGTGTGCTCGATTTATAGAATTTATCATATGTACAATGTATATAATAGGTGTTTTAACATTTTAACAGTGTAATAACAATATCACATAATGACACATCATAATTCTACTGAAATTTATAACATTGAATTTAAGGTGTTTTAAGATTAGTAGGATGATAGATTGAACGACACTTAATATTCTCTTTATAATTCCGCCATGAGCCAATCTCAAATAATGTGTAACAGCCAGATTGTAGTAACATTATATGTGTGTTGTAGCTCGGCATAAATCACCTATTAACTGTTGCTAAATTAGAACACTTACTGGACATAACCTTTGTGTTGCACACTACTGTAAGTATACTAATTAAGGAATCACTCTAATTTAGGTTTCAGGCGAGAGTGAAATGCCTTGATTTGATTCTATTGTAGGCATCTTGAACAGATGAAAAGTTATAATGATGTTATTTCCACATAATAACAAAAAAAGTAGTCTACTTTAATGTAATGTTCATTGGCTTTATTTTTGTTGGCAGTGACATGTAAATAAAAACAAACACAATGACATTGCTTTATAGTAGCAAACTGTGACAGTTGTCTAATTCGATCATGCTATTTCACAGGCAAATAACTTATTTGTTTTCAAGGTGTTTGTATATCATCTTTTGGCATTGATTTCTGTGGAAGAATGGCATGATCTCTTTTTTAAAAACAGGAACTATTTAATTGACTCCAGTGTATGTAGCATGCAATAAGAGTATTTGGTATTAGCCTGCCTTATGTTCATGTATGTATGTTTGTTCCCCTATTATCTCGAGAACCTGATTCATGGGTATCCTGAGACAATACACTGACCTGATTTGGTTTGGGTTAAAATCCCATGCATATAAATTATCTAAATTGCATAATAATTAGCCAATTTTCATTTTTTTTCATTAAAGTGAACACATTTTAATGAAGCTTGGCATGCATCCAGTGCTATAATGAATTAATCGAACAAGATATACAAGTAATGTATCAGATGACCATATATGGTCATGTTACCTTATTTACCTGCATAACTGTAATATTTCAAATTGTCTGACAATATATATTACCAAAATGTCAATTCATCATATATTTATTTATAGCTATTTTTCTAAATACTGTATTTACTCTATTAGAAGTGCATGTGTTTAAACGTAAATGACAGAGGTAACAAATAAGACATATTTTAATCATTTTAAGATTGGCTTCTAATATAGTAAATATGGTATTCTTATAAATATGGTAATCCTAGCTCACAAGAGTTGTTTCTATGGAAATTTTGAAAGATTAACTCAGCATTAAAGAAGCATTATTAAGCACTTTTCATAGTGATACCAGCTCAATGTCTAATGGAGTTTTCTCATTCACACTAGTCACAATAATATGTTGTATTCTTAAAAAGGCATCAGCGACTACGATAAACATAAAATGTACATCAATTGAGGTGTCAGGAAAGCTTGAAATGTTCCAAAAGGGATACCTAAACTAACTTATATACTATGAGAATACTACCAGGTAACAGCATTTTCATGTAATAATTATAATAATGATATAATAATGATTACATATAATACTAAAAATGTCAGTTATTGTTATTTCTGATTTCAAATATTTGAGTTCTGATCAATTTTATTATTACTGTAGCATTGATTATTGTTCTTGAAAACAAATATATTACTTTTAAGACTAATGAGAGAAACAACCTTAGATTACTGGTACATATGATGGGTGTTCATGTAACAGTTGAACTTGATTTCTTTTTACCTAGAATGTTAAGGAATATTTATAAAATAGGCAACATGAAGAAAGAGTCAACTTACAATGTTAAATAATTTTCACAACATTTCACAATGGGTAATACTTTTTGACTTTGACGTTTTTCATTCTGCAATGAGATAATACATGCTTGCTTTAAGCAAAATTGAAAGTGAAATCTCATGAATGATTTTTCATTTACAGCTAAAGTAGTAGACTGAAACCGATTTAACATTAAAGTTCATTGGAGCATGGTAGAATAGCTTCAATGCTTATTGTACATGTGTGATTACTGGTAGAAACATTTCACCTCAAATTAACCCTGGGTGTAAATCGAACTAAATGAAAAAGAAATCAATATAATTAACATGAGTTCATCCTCATCATCTTCACAAAACAGCCTGACAGTCTGTAAGTTCTATAATGTTAATGCATTCTTTCTGTTGAATATTTCTACACTTATTATTCAGTGGTCGACATTTCTTTTTGTAGTCCCTGGGAACGGGAACTTATAATTTGGTCTTTGTCTGTTTGTCCATCCATCTGCACTGAATTTGTTCATTCTTTGCATATGCTTCAGTACTTTATGTGACACATATACACACACAGTGGTTTAGTGATTCAATCCTATATGTCAGCACATATAGTTTTTTGAAAATGTGGTATCTTTGTCAGTTTTTGTACAAATTCAGTACATACATTATACTTGTTAGAATACATGTTCATTATAATTTGTTTCACAAGCAGATCAAAGACGGCCGACTGGCAGCCAAATTTGGTATATACAACTTGTTAGGATACATGTTCATGGCGATTTGTTTCATGATCCTTAAGCGGGCCGTCTGGTAGTGGTTACATTTGATCCAACATTACGATTAAACACATTTGGTATAGAATTTGACACATTTGGTGTAAGATTTGACACATTTGGTATGGGATTGGACACATTTGGTGTAGGATTGGACACATTTGGTGTAGGATTGGACACATTTGGTGTAAGATTGGACAGTTGGTATGGGATTGGACACATTTGGTGTAGGATTGGACACATTTGGTGTAAGATTGGACAGTTGATATGGGATTGGACACATTTGGTGTATGATTGGACACATTTGGTGTATGATTGGACACATTTGGTGTATGATTGGACACATTTGGTGTACGATTGGACACATTTGGTGTACGATTGGACACATTTGGTGTACGATTGGACACATTTGGTGTACGATTAGACACATTTGGTGTGGGAGGACACATTCGGTGTACGGTTGGGCACATTCAGTGAGAGATTGGGCACATTTGGTGTGAGATTGGACACATTTGGTGTAAAATTCGGCAAATTGGTTGTGGGATTGGGCACATTTCCTGTTGGATTGGACACATTTGATGTGAGTGTTATAAAAAGGCAATTTATGATCATTATACAGATTTCAGTAGCCTTTTTGTAATCATTTTCATTATCTTTTTACCCTATTTTTTGTGAGCTTGTTTGAGAACTGAATGCTATCTGATTTTCTATGTTGATATATTTGTTTGAAAATCTGACAAAAAAAATGAAGAAATATATTAATTAACATTTTGAAACCCAAATTTAATTTTAATTATATCTAGTTTATTGATAATTCAGAGTGTTTAGCATTGCTTCAACAAAATTATAGTTTGAATTTTAACCTTGTTGTAACTTTTTAAATCAATGAGTATTCATTGGACTAGGCTATAAACAAAGCATACTACTGTAGTATTGTCTGGTTTCTAGGTGCTGAACCGTATCACAAATATTTTATTGCTGAAAACCTAGCAGCAATTTGAATAATATCATATAAATCTGTCACTAAGACACAGTGTAAGCTATTGTTATCAAAACAAATAATCATATAACCACAGACAGGTGATGAGGTTAATCTAGCTCTCTGAGTTCTATTGAAGTGGAAATAACACACCAAACTGTAGATCATTTAGCTAAAGTTACATAGGGAAATTATCGGTAATTACCCCAGTAACAAAAAACAACCACAAACAAAATACAAATGTTATAGAACATCTGAGAATGATACATGCATTCTGAGGTGATGTCCGGTATTTCTAAAATAGTGAACACACCCCGCTTCACATGTGCCATTTATCATTCTGAATCGTAATCAATTGTTTTCTGGAAGAAACCTGAGTCTATGTTGACATCATGTCAGTGACATTAGAATGAGCTATTAATAGCCATAATAAATATTAGTGCATGTGTTTTGCTAAATAGCAAATGGTTTTTACCTTTATTTGACCTTAGGTA